TCACTTCAAACAAAGATTGCAGTGTTTGAAGATGTAGGTTCTCAGGAGGCAACAGTACTGTTGACTTCTCCCTCCACTGGACACCAACTAACTATTTAAAGCAGAGCTTGCAACATGATAGCTATTCATAAAGGGTGTGTTTTTTTTTACTTTTCATATAATACAGTAGTCACACAATGAGGCAGTTCATATTTGTCTCAGTGAATCATTAATTTTTGACAGACACCTGTACAAAATACTTATTTTGTATTTCTATGTTGTGAGCATTAAACTGTTAGTTATAATGAAGATTTTGTCAACTGTGGAACAACTTGTATGTTATTGAAAATCTTTATTTTGTTGTCTGTGAATTAATATAATATTTGAAATGGCGTAATGGTGCAAAATATTCTCAAACAATCGGTCTTCTGATGACACTACACTGCGCATTTATGCACAGTCTGTATCCCAATGCGCGATCACAGCTTACTAAGTGATGATGGTGGTTGAAATGGAAAACTGAATACAAAAATCCAGTAATATCTCAAATGAATTTCCGTCTGCTGTGAATGCATGTTTCGTTGCATCAAATAAATAACCCAATTTTATGATAGAAGCTTGCAATCTTGTGCCATACAGGGTCAAGTGATTGAGCAATAACAAATGTACAAAATACTTGGACTAAAGCCAGCTAAAATTTTCTGTTATCTTGCATGTTTTATGAATCTATTCACGTCTAAATACAGCACTTTTTTTTGCAATGGGGCATTTGTTTTTATACTAAAATATCTGAATTACTTTGAATAAAGCTGGAAATTATGTCTCTTAAAATAATTAAACAAATAAGGCACCAATGTTTTTGTAAGATATTTACATCTTTAAAGGACATTCGGTAGACTGATTCCCCACTGTTAGTTCAACCCCAAAACTTTTTTGTATTCAAAATTAATTATGACAATGTATATTTATATTGAAACAAACTATGTTAAAGGGAATTATATTATATAACAAAGGGCAAGGTCACCAGAGTTCAACTATGTTGTTTACTCTGTGTGTACTATGGTTGCATTTGAAGTTTTTATCATTTTAATGGTGTACATATTTTGTCGGTAGTACATAAAGGTACACTTTACAAAAATACCCATGATATATAAATTATATAATCCGTTATACAACCTGGACAAAAGAAATTTTTATTTTTTCTTGATATAATGATAACATGTTACTTTATGAGGAAATCCTTGTAAATGAGATTAAAAAAAAAATGACTTGTTAATAAAAGTGAAATGTGGTAAATACTTCATGCCATATTCAGTTTACCTGTCAAAAATTGCTAGTTACCAGTTTTAGAAAAAAATCATGCCGTTTATTTGCCAAAATCAATTCCAACAGATAGTACTACAACATCAACAATTCACTTCCGCATTGCATTTTCGAAAAATGGTGTCAGTACAATACAGCATTCTGATTGTTTAATAACAGACTTGACACATTTGGTCAAATGACGTTGCAGGTCATATCATACAAGAATACATTATGGCAGAAATTGCTTTTTATGTAAATGTCATGCATGATCCGGCATCATCAAAGTCATCAGCATGAAAACAGGTACCAATCTCATTTCTCAGGTTGTATTTTTGTTTCCGGCAAACGTGTAAAAAACACATCATTCAATAATACTTTAGATGAAATCGAGAATCACTCTTGCAATCACTGTAAGAGCACCGTTTAACTCCCATTATAGTGCTTTTGTACAGTCGATATTGTTGTGTGAACGGAATACAACAGAGTGAACAATGGCGCTGTCACCGTCACTATGGGAAAGCTTGACCTGTGTCACGTGATCAAAACTAGTTGCTAAGAACGTAAAGCTTTCCCACGTGAGATCTCGCAATCAGCAGAATATGGCTTATTGGTGTGTGTGTTAAAAGCCATGGTTCCTAAACATGAATGCTTATTGCTCTATGCTGAAACACTCAGCTGGAACACTGTTGTGCTTTGTACATACGTCTTATAAAATACTTTCCTTGATTTGCTTTTATCATTATGTCACAGAACCAAAATGATTTTCCTTTCTGAATTTAAAGTCAGAACTTATTATTATTATATTGTATCAGAAAACATATAAAGGTTTAATAAGTTTACTGAAATCTTCATTTGAAGTGATGTTTAGTAAACTTTGAGAGGATAAATATTAGCGAAGTCAGTAGTCTGGTACTTATTTTTTTCAAAAAATAATCTTAAAAAATTGGCTGGCTAATTTTGGTCACATTGGTAATTTTGCACATACAGTATATTAGTCTATTATCAAAAAAAATGTTAAATTATGGTTTTGAAGTAGATGCTTTGTGTCAGTTCATTGTGATGATTACTCTTATTTTTGTCTTCTTTTCAGATGCGAATGATTGCAATGGACAATGTCAGAATGGCGCTACTTGTTTAGTAAGTCACTATTTGTACCTTTTTAGTCTGATTATTGTCTTCACACATTAATATACAATGAGTACAACATTTTCAGTGCCTTAATTTACAAAATAACAAATGAACCAAATGTATTACACAATACAAGTTTTATAACTCATTAGAGTGCCTTTTATGTGTTCGAATATGAAATATCATGAAATTGAATTATTTTTCAGTCTAATTACCATAATTACACAGTGTTTGGTGTGGGGATTTCTCTCCCAACCTTCCAATGGTAGATCAAATAATTTCCACTTGTATGCTATTATTATTCATGTTCTTAAAAAAACAACAATTATTTTTATTATCACAATAACACATTGTAGAGATTCTTGCCAGCAGGGGGTGTGACATATATCAGCAAGTTTTCTTGCCTGTAGGGGGTGTGACATATGTCAGCGTGTTTTCTTGCCTGCAGGTGTGACATATGTCAGCGTGTTTTCTTGCCTGCAGTAGGTGTGACATATGTCAGTGTGTTTTCTTGCCTGCAGTAGGTGTGACATATGTCAGCGTGTTTTCTTGCCTGCAGGGGGTGTGACATATATCAGCATGTTTTCTTGCCTGTAGGGGGTGTGACATATGTCAGCGTGTTTTCTTGCCTGCAGGAGGTGTGACATATGTCGGTGTGTTTTCTTGCTTGCAGTGGGTGTGACATATGTCAGCGTGTTTTTTTTGTCTGCAGGGGGTGTGACATATGTCAGTGTGTTTTCTTGCCTGCAGGGGGTGTGACATATGTCAGCGTGTTTTCTTGCCTGTAGGGGGTGTGACATATGTCAACATGTTTTCTTGCCTGCATGGGGTGTGACATATGTCAGCGTGTTTTCTTGTCTGCAGGAGTGTGACATATGTCAGTGTGTTTTCTTGCCTGCAGGAGGTGTGACATATGTCAGTCTGTTTTCTTGCCTGCAGGGGGTGTGACATATATCAGCATGTTTTCTTGCCTGTAAGGGGTGTGACATATGTCAGCATGTTTTCTTGCCTGCAGGGGGTGTGACATATGTCAGTGTGTTTTCTTGCCTGCAGGGGGTGTGACATATATCAGCATGTTTTCTTGCCTGTAGGGGGTGTGACATATGTCAGCATGTTTTCTTGCCTGCAGGGGGTGTGACATATGTCAGCATGTTTTCTTGCCTGCAGGGGGTGTGACATATGTCAGCATGTTTTCTTGCCTGCAGGGGGTGTGACATACATGTATGTCAGTGTTTTCTTGCCTTCAGTAGGTGTGACATATGTCAGTGTGTTTTCTTGCCTGCAGGAGTGTGACATATGTCAGTGTGTTTTCTTGCCTGCATGAGTGTGACATATGTCAGTGTGTTGAAATCTAAAATAATCACCAAATGCAGGTGCATTTTTTAGTCCCTGTTCGAACGAAGTTCAGTCTCAGTCGGTTCATCTGGAGTCGTATTTCATCACCCAGTGGACCAAATCTGTTAATTCTTCGCATGTGCTAAGTACTTTATCTTGGACATGTGCACATGCATTGGTTTACGTGTCCATAAAAATTGTTTAGCTCCGCTGTTGACTTTGTCGAGCGGAGCTTATCATATGAGTGATTGTCTGTCGTCGTCCGTCATCCGTGTCAAGGTTTTTACTTTTTGACTCCCGTGTGCGAAGCACAAAGGGGAGTCTTTGCAGTTACCCTGTCTGTATGTCTGTATGTATGTATGTCTGTATGTATGTATGTATGTCTGTATGTATGTCACTTTTTAGCTCCGCTGTCGACTTTGTCGAGTGGAGCTTATCATATGAGTGATTGTCCGTCGTCGTCCGTCGTCGTCGTCCGTCGTCCGTCGTCGTCGTCCGTCGTCCGTGTCAATGTTTTACTTTTTCGACTTCTTCTTGAAAACTACAAGCCTAAATGCTTTGATACTTGGTGTATATGTACCTTGGGTAGACCTCTCTTAGGTTTGTTCATTTCATGTTGATATCTTTAATTCTCTAATTTTGGTGAATATTTTTGTCATTTTTGGTAAAAACTGATATTTTCGACTTCTTGTTAAAAACCGCAAGTGCAATTGCTTTGATATTACATATATAGGTACTACATGTGGACCTCTCTCAGATTTGTTCATTTCGTGATGATATCTTCAATTCTCTAATTTTGGTGAATATTTTTGTCATTTTTGGTAAAAACTGATATTTTCGACTTCTTGTTAAAAACCGCAAGTGCAATTGCTTTGATATTACATATATAGTACTACATGTGGACCTCTC